CCATTTTCTCTTTCTCGACAAGCACATGCCCAGAGCCTTTCCCGTGGGGAATAGCCCAGGATTTATCTGGCCTGAGTGGATTTTTCTCCTTTCCCGGATTCGTGGAAAAGATGTCACTTCTGAGCTCGTGTCTTTGCTGATAACACTCCAAACGGTGATGCTTATCGAAATCAGCCCGAAATTCCTTAGAAACGAGGCAGAACCCAACTCAAATTAAAAACCCACCAAAAAAAAAATAGAGAGAGAGAGAGAGAGAGAGAGATGGCCATCGGGGAAGCCGGAGCAGTGGGAGTGCAATCACATAGAAATGATGTGTGTGGGGGGGGGGGGGGAGGGGGGGGGAGGGGGGAGGACACATCAGAATAAGGCAACTAATGGCTCAGCGCGGCGTGCGCCCGGTGCGCGCGTGTGTGCGGGGCTGGGGAAGGGATGCGGAGCGGTGCGGCTGAGCTGCGGCTCGGGGCAGAGGGGGAGCGGCAGAGGTTTTGGGAAGTGGAGTCCTGCGGAAGGAAAAGGAACCCAAAGCGGGGCTGGGGTACGCGGAGAGGAGAGCCTAGGAATGCGGCGGGGCTGCGGGAAGTTCGGTCAGATGATTGCCGGCGCCTGACTCACTTCGTAGCACTTTCACTCGGGAGAAGTAGCGGCACGGGACGAGGAGGAGGAGGAGGAGGAGGAGAAGGAGGAGGAGGAGGGGGCACGGGTGGAGATGGAGGAGGAGGAGGAAGGCAGAGAGCCCCTTTCTGCCCCGCACCTCACGGGCGCCCCGTAGAGGTGGGGCTGCGCGGAGAGGTGCGGAGCGGTGCGGAGCGGCCCCCGCCGTCCGCGGGCCCCGGGCGTTGAGCGGCTCCGCTCCCTCCTCCTTAGCGGGGCTGCTTTGTTCCACCCCCCTTCCCCCCCCCCTCCCTCCTCCGGCCCCGGCTAAAATAAAATAAAATCAAATCCCGAGGAAAATGGGGGTGGGGGAAAGGAAAAAGTTGGCCCTGATTTCCTCCAAACTTTCAGCAAACAGCTCCCTTTGATTCCATTGCCATCTCGCTTCCAGTTGTAAAGAAAAGAGAGAAAGTTCAATTCTTTCAGGGCGCCTGATCCGAGGGGAAGCGCAGCCCAAACACGATTACACTCGCTCAGAGCCCTCACCAAAAAGGCTCCCACCCACCCTTCCTCTCTGCTGGGAAAGGGGGGAAAACCTTCGCTTCCTACTCGAACGAGAGCAGAAAGCAGCTTGTTTGTGGTGGAAAGTGAGGCTCTGCCCTGCATGGGGAAGTTTGAGGGCACCCGATAGGGTTGTGGGGTGAGCAGGGGGTTGTGATGGGTGACATGCAGGTGGCACACGCTGGGGTGGGCATCTGGGAGCACTCCTGTACCCGGGTTCCTCTGCAGCGCTGCGAATCCGTTGCGAGCAGATTGCTACCAGAGCGGCTGCTCGGGTGGGAGAAAAACGTGCGACCTCGAGGAAAGCACCTGGAAATAGGTATTACAAATGGATGAGGTCCATGAGAGCGACTGGGGAGTGAGGGGTGTCGGTTGGGTTCCTCTGTGCGGATCCATGGGAGCGAGCTGTGGCAGGGCTGTGTGCCGTGCCAGGGCTCAGCTGTTTGTTTGATGGTGAATTTGGAGGAAAGCGGTGGATTTGGAGACGACTGTCTGGTTTTTGCCATTCACGACCATTCCGTGCTTGCTGAGTTGTGTGCACACGCTTCACCAGGAAACTTTTGGGGGAATTTCTGGTTGCTGTAAGAAAATACGTTTGGTGCCGGGGAAAAGACGGATCTGAAAATTAAGAAAGGGAAGGGAAAAAAAAAAAAAAAGAAAAAAAAAAAAAAAAAAAAAAAAAGAAAGAAAGAAGGAAACAATTACAAGTTAATTATTGATAACTATAAAGCCAGCTGCCCAAGGAGGGGAAATATCAGGGAGATGGAGATGAGAGCTCTCAGGACAGGCTGGTAATGTCCCCCAAGAAAAATGTGTGTCCCTTTAGAGTGGGAAGAAGGGTGTTGATCCTTTTACAGCAGCCCCACATTCATCCCAAGAAATAGGAAATTCTTTGCCTCACAACACTTTTTGGCATCTGCATTATCCCAGTGCTTTTAAGGTGCATTTTCTCCTCTGTGAAAGAGAACTCTTTGTCCTTTTTTTTTTCCCCCAAGACCATGGCTTCCCAAGGTAGACACTATTTTGTGCCTGTCACACAGAAAGGGAGTGCAGGTTTGCAGTGCTCACAGACAATTGATTGTCTGCCCTAATGTGTTTCATTTACATGTTTATAACGTCAATAGTGCTGGGGTGTCCACTGTACCATTCATTCCAGCATTCCCACAAGGGTGCAATTGTCTGAATGGCCAAGTCAGACACCTTTTTGATTGCTCTTTAGTTGTCTTTTTAGAGTAAGGAGAAAAAGGAGAGAAATCCGCGCTGCAGAAACACTAGTTGAAAATATCTTAGAATTAAACGTCACCATTAAAGCAGATGTGAGCATTAGACAAGCCATATATTTTAACTAAGGCTCTGAAGGTGTAAACAAATCCAGAGCAGAGGAGATGCTTGCCGCTGCTGAATTTTTCAGCCTTTTCATTGTTTTTTTGTTTTTGCTGTTGAGTGGTTTTCATTTTCCACGAGTGCAGCCACCTCCTAACTCTGTATGCTTAGCTGCAGTTTGTGATTTCTTTCTATATATTCACGTGCCTGTGTTTATGCCAGCAGCGTCAGCTAGCTGCTTGGAAAGTCTATGGAGGGGATATTTAGGCTGTGAGGAGCACGCACTCAAAAATATATAGATGTATAAATAAGGGAAGGAAGGAAGGAAGGAAGGAAGGAAGGTGCAGCTATTCCTTGATCAAGCAAGTTTAATGAAAATAAAAGGACAAAGCCTCTCCTCCTCGAGGCGGTGTAACTTCCATAGCTGTGCACCAACTTCGCGCGCTGCGTCGCCGGCCTTGTGGGCTGCGAGAGCTCTGCAAAGTGTTCCTGGGAGTTCCAAAGTCAATAGGAGATCACTCGGGGAGGTGTGCTGTGTGCTGCTGCGATGTGCCACGCTGCTTTATCGTAGAAGGAGGGAGGTGAGGGATGATTATTGCCCGTGTGTTGCATGGCAGAAGTAAGCCTCGCAGCTTATGGAGAGCCATGTCTGGTGGATGTAGCCATGCGTGCGCGCACACCTCTGTGTGCGTGGAGAGGGTGCCCGTGTGCACGCACACAGTCAGGGCACCTAAATACAACTGTGCGCATTCCAGATGAGTGCATTTCCCCCTAAAAATGACTCTGATCCCAAGAGCTGCAATGAATGCATGTGGACCCGTTCCGTGCCCGCTCTGTCAGGGACGGAGCACCAAGTGGCTCCTGCTCGGGAGGCACAAGCAAAGGAAAAGTTGGTGTTCTGTTTTCCTCCTCTCCCTATAATTTTTGTTGTAATTTAAAAATAATAATAAAAAGCCTGTTTGTGGAAAGGTTTTTTTTTTTTCTTTTTCTTTTTTTCTTTCTTTTTTTTGTGCCTAACAGGGAAGACACACACAGTAGATGCACCGTTAGCTGAACCCCTGACACGGCGGTCTTTTGAATGCCTTAGGTATGATTTCACTTTCGCTCACATCAATGCTGACCTGAATGCCTTTCATATCTGATCCGCTGTGTCTCTCCCAGTAAACATCCCCTGAGGGGAGAACAAAGAAAGGAGCTCTTCTTCTTCTTAATCACAATTCAGCCCATTCACCGCCGGCAGGCTACATTTGCATTCTGCAACAGAAAGCCAAGATGAAAAGAAAAAAAAAAGAGAGTGAGAAGAGGGGGGAAAAAGCAGAAGGGTGGAGGCTGAGTAAAATAACTTAGGTGTTTGTAGCTGTTTGTTGGGCTTCCCCTAGTTACAAGCCTTATATAGATCCTGCTCTACCCAGCCTTGGCTCTTCTGACAGGCAGATAGTGTTACAAGATGGCATGCCTGTACTATTCATGGCCACTCGCTCTAACACTTGAGGTAGAAAGTGTCAGAGAGGGATCAAATTCTACTCGGAGAAGTCTGTTATACTTAGGGTCAGGTGTGTGTACTCTCAGCTCTTGACTGCTGCCTATTATTTTGTTTTAATTACTATTATTGTTTACTCACCGTGACCTTGGGGAGCGGGGGGCCAGGCGATCTCGGCCACCCCCGGCGAGCAGCTCGGTGCCGAGAAATCGCCCTTTTCCCTCATTTTTGGGGGGAGCTCCGTCGCTTTTCCCCCTTCCCTGTGAGGATGCTGCGGGCTGGGATCCTCGGGCACGGGGAAAAGCAGCGGCTCCGCGGCCGCAGGAGGAGGAGGAGAGGAGGAAGGCGGATCGGTGGAACTTTCTCCAGCCCGTCTCCCTCGTGGCTTCCCCCAGTCACGTCCATGGGCACTTTCCGGTCGCCCCCCCCCCTCCCCAGATTTGTCTGTTTGTTTGTTCTTCTGAAGCTCTTCAGCGCTTTTAGTAAGACAGTTCTGGGGGGGAAAAAAAAAAAGAAAAAAAGAAAAAAAATGGCGAGGTCTTTGGTCGCAGCCACTTTTCTCACCAAGAGGAGGTTTATTTATAACCGGATCCTGCTTACTGAGAAGTATTTAAGCCCTTTCAGGCAGAGCTGTCAAAATTTCCTGTGTTGTTTGCCTCTATTTGCAATATGCACAAAGTAATACGCAGTGCTGGTTTTGGAAGAACCGGAGCAGCGCGGAGATCTCAAGTGACAACTTTGCAGCTCCGCTATCTCCTGCCGACCAAATTGGCGTTTGCATCCAGAAACCACTTTTTAAGACCCTCACAGTTTTGGTTCGATTCTCCCCTTGACCCCCTCCAATAGATTAAATGTGCTAAAGGCACTTGGGGAGGGCAGGGCTGTGCAATGCAGGCAGTGGGATGTCGCGTTTCCCCGTCGCTCCATGGCAGATCTCACCCATAAGGATTGCACTCCCCGAGATGTTCCCGGTTGAACAGAAGCATGTGACACAGATTCCTGATTTTTTTTTTTTTTTCCCCCTTCCTTCTCCAGAAGATTTATAGAATTTACAAAAAGAGATTATCTCTACACCTTCCACCCTCCTAACCACCCCCATGACCCAAGCGATGGAGGATTTAGGCAGATTTACTTCGGTAAACACCTTTGGACACTTGGGGAAAAGTAGGAGTCTGTTTGCAAAAGCAGGCTTTTGTGGAGCGAGGTGCTGGGTAATGCTTTACCAGGCAGCTGTGATATTAACCTACCCGGGAGTCCACCACGTGTTAACCCTTCGTGTGCCACAAGCATAGGGCAGGTGGGGAGAGGAGGTGGCACTGCTGAACTCATCCCACCTCTGTGTAGGTGAGCTTTTGGGGTCAGCTAAAGGGTTGGGAAGAGCTATGAGACACTGCCACAAAGTGACCTTCATCGCTTAGGAGCTGCACACACACTCACCCTATGTATACCTATGTATATCCATATACCTATGTATCTCTATGTGCCTACGTATATCTCTATGTATCTATAGCTATGTGCCCTCACACCTGTAACATCCACATCAGACTCCAAAAGCTCTGCTAAGGGAGAATCCCTGCAGGATCCCTTCTCCAGCAGCCAGGCAGAGGAGAAGTCCCAAGGGCAAACCCATTGGCATGTCTCAGGGCTGCTGGGGGGCAGCTCTCTGCAGGGTGCTCTGCCTGGAGAAGGCTGCTCTGCTCTGAGCTGCTTGGAGAAGAAGCTCGGAAGTTGGTTATTTTCACTGAGCATAACTTTCCAGGTGTTTCTTTCTTTCTTTTTTTCTTCATGACTATAGAATAAGACTGCTTCATTTCAAGATTTTTGTTGTCGAGGGTTTTTTTTGTCGATTTTTTTTTTAAGTGTAGGTGTCGATGTTAGAGCAGCCATGAACGTGTGAGAAAGCAAAGGGTATGAGACATGACAGAATTAAAGGTGTTTGCTATGTTGTTACCCGTGTGTCGAGCTGCAAGCTCCCTTTGTCACAGCCTCCCGGTGATCCGACAGCGCATCCGCGCTCCCCCCCGAAGTGATGCAGCAGTTTCAGGCTGGGGGCTCCATGCTCTGCCTCCCCAAAGCCATCCCAGCACCTCCACCCCATGGCTCCCGCCCTGCACTGGGGCTGCTCTCAGCCACCAGGACAGCAGCCATAGCATTACAGCGTCTGGCATGGAGCGGCGTTTGGCAGGAATGTCATCTGCCAAATCATCCCATAATTACGTTTTATGTTATTTGTATGAATGACCAAGCATGCAGTATTCCTTTTGAAATCAAAGGAAGGCTTAAAACGCGTTTTTGAATACTTTCAGACCATGGTCAGGTCACAGTTTGGGAGTTGAATTAAACTGATCTCATTTGTGATCTAATTGAGGTTGGCAACAACCTTAGCAGTAGCAGTAACACACAAATACAAATCAAAGAGCAGAATTCGGCAAATCAGAGCTTTTGCTCGAATTCTGCCCTCGAGTCGCACTCCGGCTGCCAACGGAGTTCAACTTTGTCCCATTCCTGGGCGGCAGCGGCGCGGGCCAGGATGGAAAGTTGAGTCGGGGGTGTGGGAGCAGAAGGGAGCGGGGAACTGCGCCTCATCCCGCAGCAGTGGGGCACGAGTGGGGTGCGGCCAGCGATGGTTCTGGAGCGGCTGTGGGTAAGGCACGGGAGGAGGAGGGAGCGCGTCCGGAGGGACGCGGGGAAAGGAACGAACGGGTCGCTACGAGCAGGAGCGATTATTCCAAGCGGAAAGTCGAGGCAGCTTCCTATCTTTACATCTCGCGCTGCGGATTCCAGGAATGCAATTACCAGCCCGGTTGCGAATTGTTGACAAATTTGCCCGGGACTGACGGGAGATGCGATGCTGCAAAGCGGCGGTCGGGCAGCCCCGACGTGACATCGGAGGGGGCACAGCGAGGCGGGCCCGAGGGAACGGCCCCTCCCCCCCCCCCCCCCCCACCCCCCCGTTCTCCACCCGCAGAGGGGCTCCGCGTCCGCCCCCGGGGCCGCTGGGGCATCGCGCTGCGGGGCGGTGCGGTGAGAGCCGCGGGGTCGGGCGGGGAGCGGCGGGGCCGCCTGTGGTAACGCAGCCCCGGGCGGAGGTGTGAGGCCGCCCCGGGTGGGTGGGGGCGAAGTGCGAAGGGCGGGGGGGAGAGCCGGCTCCGCTCCGCTCCGCTCTGCTCGGCTCAGCCCCGACTTTCCCCCCCACCCCCCCGCCTCTCCAAGGTGTCCCTGCTCCCCTCCCCGGACCGCTATTTCCTTCC